AGCAGTGAAGTGCAGGCACCTTGAAGAAACCAGCCTGCTCTCAGCAGTCTTGTTGATGGTGAATTTCTTTTAATGCAGCTGCTGCTCAAGGTTCCAAACACTCCTGTTTCAGCATAAGAACCCCACAGATATTCAGCATGGGGGGAGGTGTTATTTCTTCTTTAACAGCCCATTCTTGCTTGCCTTGCTGCTTCCCTCCTGAAAAAAAGACATGCCACAGTGTTTGCTGCAGTATTCTCATTTTTTATGCAACCCCCTCACCCCCACTGCACACAGCACTGGTTTCTCATCTCCCTGAGTGAATCAGCCACCCAATTTCCATTTTCATACTTTCCCAAATTCCAAAATAAAGCTTAGCTAAGGACAGCCAGGAAAAAAGCAAAAGCAACGTACAAACAAGGCTAGGTTAGTGCCAAGAATTATTCCAGGCCTTTTTAAACGCTCGTTAAAGGCTTTTGCTGTATCTCACTTCAATAAACATCATGCTCCAGTTACTACTTCAAACCATAGGGGCATTATCCTGTGCAGCACTTATCAATATTTTAGCATGTGAAAGTCAAATGATGTTGAAACATTGAACTATATTTCCATCTGTGCAAGCTAAAATGGTACAAATGCATCTCGTGTAATGGAATCCCACATCCCTAGCTGCTTTCTCACAAGTGATACCCAATTCCTCACAATTTAATGCAGCTGTCTTCATTGACTCCAAGAGGGATCTGGGGAAGGTCTGACTTTCTAAACACAGAGAGAGAGAGAGAAAATGGGGGGGGGGGGGAGAGAGAGAGAGAGAGGATTGAAATATTTAAACAGCTTCAACCTGAATGAACAAGGAGGAAAAGGGTCTTTATAGTCACTTGGCAGCCTGTTAGTTTTGGGAATTCATTCCTGAAATTGGTTTGACTTAAGTCCTTATGGATGTTTATTATACATCTGTAAGCCTTAAAAGGGACTGGCTAAATAGGAAATCATTAGACGACTGAATCCAGCAATGGGTGATGCAGAGATGGACCTGCTACAGCGGCTTCTTTGACCTTGTTGACTAGAAGACCCAGCACAGCTTATAGCAGCCCTCACCAACGAGTGGCTTTCAGTTGAGCTGGACAACAGCTTCCATCATCCCCAGCCAATGTTCATCCATTTGGAGATAAAGAGAGCTGAAGCCCAACATATTCGGGGGCACCAAGCTGGATTCTGGCTTAAAACAAGGGCAAAAGGTTGATTCACAAGCCAGTCCCAGGTAAGGTTTGGACCCCATTGGATCCCCCCCCCCCGCTTCCATCCATTTGTAGTAGGAGTACATTCAGTTTTAATCAAGGTATACCAATATATCCACTGATGCTGTTGGGCGCCTGGCTACCGAACTGCCATTGTTCATCCGCTCTCCTGAGCGACATCTGTACCTGGGTTTCCATCCTCTGTTCTAGGACAGAAACAGGAGTTCTCATTTGGGAGGGTAGGGAAAGGAGAAGACGGCCAGGCCTGTCCATGCAACTGCCAGTCTCGAGGTGAGAGGAATGAAATTAAGACAATAGTTAGTACCTCTTTTGCACTTTCAAGCACTCAGAGCAATTCACACTCATTCATATTCCTGTAATCCTTACAATGGTTTCATAAGGTAGGTCTGTATAAGGATCTTCATATTTTATTAATTAGTTTATTTTACAATTATGCATACTTTGCCTTTCTCCATCCAGAATGGAATAAATCAGAGCAGTTTACAGAATGTAAAATGAGCAAACCAATGCCCCAAGGTAAAAAATAACAACAATCCATCATTAAAACATAATTGGTGAAATAAAGGTAGCATCAAGACAGCAGCCTCAGCAACACACCAAGAGCCAAACTGAGTGATCAACCAGTTAAGTTAGGTAAGAGCAGGAAAAAACGATTGGTGAGAAAAACGTGTCTTCTGTTGCTGATAGAAGATGACCTATTTTCTCATTTATCAAAGGTGCAGTCCTGTGTCTGTTTAGAGAGGAAAAACACTACAACTCCCAGCATGCCCCAGCCAACCATCACTGTTAAAAATCTCTGCATACATAGGATTGCTCATTCATTCATTCATTCATTCATTCATTCATTCATTCATTCATTCGATTTCTAAGATGTCCAATAGCCAAAGATCTCTTGGAGGATCACCTCTTGGGCAGGGAGATGGCTGATGCTCAGAGGAAGCCCTCTGAACATGCGAGCAACCCAACTATCATGTGCCCACAGAAGGCTATGGCTTGGCCACGGGTATAAAGGAGCCAGAACGCACAGGGATGCAGATTTTTGACAGGCAGGGATGCTGATGGCACCTGCCATCCCCATCCCCATCAGACTTCCATATTACCTGGTGATGGCCTGGTCTCAAACAGGTAACAAGACCCATTCGTTTTACAAAGGACCTGTTCATGGTGGAGAGGAACACAGTTAGATCTGCGTTCTGGAGGTGGATCAGCCCAGCTGCCTGCATTCTGGACCTTTCTCCGAGGATGTGGCTTTGGGGTCTGACATGATGAGCATCTGCACTTCGAAATGTACCACTGCACCACGATGCGTGACATGTGCAAGAGGCGTTTGGTAGGAAGAACAAGGCCACATGGGAAGCGGGGGCAAAGCAAAGGCAGAATACATTTCCTAAGGCATCACAGAGGGTTCACAGCAAAGTGAGACTTGAGTTTGGAATTTTTTTGACTCACAGCTGAATATTCTAGCTTCTGTGCCACATCAATGGGATGAAAGGAAGTGGAAACATCTGTAGTGACTTCCAATGGTCTCCATGCCACACAAGCGCTCACATTAGAGTCCACAAAAGAACACCTGACTTGAATGAGAATACACAGACTATGGCTGCATAATCAAATTATTCTTCTTGTTAAACAGTTACACATCAAGTTACATCTTGACTTCTCTGAGTTTTTCGGCCTTACATTTGCTTCACCCTGTTTTCACATCAGTTGGAGATTTTTAAAAACAATTATCTTTTGTTTGCATGAAGCACTGATATTGCCTCAAGTATCCTTGATAGGTTAAGAAGATAAGAAAAGCCTGCTGGATGAAGACCAAGTCTAGCTGGCCGGCATTCTGGTCACACAGCTGGCTGCTCACAGAATCCTGGAAGCTGGACAGGGGAGCAAGAGCTCCCTCCGGTGCACGACTGTAGCAACTGATCTATGTAGGCCTCCTGATGCTGGTACTGGAAGGAACTCAGAGTCTTCAGGAGGGTGGGTGACCCCACCAGACCCCTCCTCCATGAACGTGTCCAGTTCCCTTTTAAAGCTGCTTGGATTGGTAGCCTTCACTCCAACTTCTGGAAGCGAATTTAACTATGCACTCTGTGAAAAAGCTCTTGCTTTTCTCAGTCCTGAATCTCCCACCTATCAGCTTCATGGGATGATTCTGTGCTCTAGTATTATGGGAGAAAATTTAATATTTTTTTTAATATCAAATTTGTATGTCGTCCATTAGACGGCTTACAACATTATTTCAGAATAAAATAAGTTAACTATTCCACACTGGCTGAACATCATATAAAATATAAATAAATCATCTCATGGTTAAAATATATTAAAATATTGATCAAATAAAAAGGTCTCCCTATCCATGTTATCCATACCATGCACCATTCTGTAGACCTCCTAACACCAGTATTTTTCCTCCCTCATAGTACCAGAACTCTCCAGACTAGGGAAAGAATTTAAATAGGTCAGTGGGGTACAAGACAAGCCTCAGAAGAAAATGCCTTGGATACACAAGGTGCGTTATGGACACAAGGATGCAACCAGAGGTGTCATTTTGACAGCCTCCCCCTTGTGCTCCCCAAATTTGCTGTGGACGTGTGGGAGATCAGCTGGAGTCATGCGTAAGGGGCCACAGAGGGAAGAAGAGAAAAGGGCAGCCCCGTCGTGCAAGAGGAATCCCTGTTGCACAGTCGGGTTCCCTCTTCCGCGAGGGCTGGATCCAGCCCAGCATGTCCGCTGATGTTTCAGTCTGGCACTATTCCCATGAGTTCACCAGTGTCGATAACCACTGGCAATCCTTTCCCCTTCCCCTTTCATAGAAAACCTGATCTATGCCCCAGTAGCTGTGTGGGTGTCTTTCCTTCTAGGTCAATTGCAGCACTAAAACCATTTTTCACTCAAGGGCAATCTCACTCATAGAACATGTGGCTGCCCAGAGAGCATGTTGCCAATGGGTGACTTTTAATAAATACCAAATAAATAAATACAGGATGTTGGCCTGAACCCTTGTTTCTGCACCCAGGTGTGTCCTGGAAGGTCTGAGAGCTCTCTAGCTCAGGCTGAAGAGGATGTAAAGGGGAGGCAGCAGTCCCAGCTGCTACTGGGTCGTTGTTCGTCCAAGTCTACCTTGCAGAGAGTTTGGGCAACTTTATTCCTGCCTTCACTACTACTTGCACCTGCAGATTGCAAATCATTGGATGGGTGGGTGGATGTTGTAGGACATACCTGCTTGGCCAGCATTAAGCCTGAGCAGGCTGGTCTCAATGTGAGGAGTTACTCGTGTAACCAGAGCCGCCACACTGCCAGGGTTTAAGAGGAATCCTTCTATAGATCTTCCAGCCCAAACCCCAGGTAGTCCAGATTCCCAGGTAAGTGCAGGAATCACCTGTATTCAAATGAGCCACTCAGTAATCATGGCAGGAATCTCAACCAGGTAAGGGGCTGCCATTACTACCTGGTCAGCAGGGGTATAAAAGGGGACTCTGCCGTGCACTTGGGGTCATTTGCAATTTTGCTGTTATCAAACTTTATTCTCAAGAATAAAATACAATTTTGTGCCTTTCACTCACATCATACTTAACTGGTTGAAGTGAACCAGATCTGGACCCCTTGAATCCTTCAGTATCATCTGTATCTATCTGTACCTAATTGATACCTAATTGTCTACCTGGAGGACGACTTCCTAGTGACAGTGACGCACACATTGGTTACTTCCCGATTGGACTTCTGTAACGCGCTCTACGCGGGGTTGCCCTTGAAGACAGTCCGGATACTTCAGATGGTGCAAAACAGACCAGCCAGGTTGCTGACGGGGACTGGGCGTTGTTCTCATATAACCCCAGTCCTCTACCAGCTCCACTGGCTTCCCATCGAAGTCTGGGCTCAATTCAAGGTATTGGTAATCACCTATAAAGCCCTTAATGGTGTGGGACCTGGATACCTAAAGGAACACCTGCTTCCATATTTGCCCTCCTGCCCCTTGAGATCGGCAGCAGAGGCCCTCCTCCGGGAGCCCTCCGGGAGAGACATCAGGAGGCAAAGTACCCATAGGAGGGCTTTCTCTGTGGTGGCGCCCCATCTGTATAATGCGCTCCCCAGAGAGGTCCGCCTGGCATCGTCGTTATTTGTTTTTCGGTGCCAGGCTAAGACCTTTCATTTAAAAAATATTTTAATAATACTAGATAATATGTATAGGTTTTAATTGTGCAGCCAGGGTGTTTCTGGGTTTTAATTGTATTTGCATTATGTTTATTTATTTATGTGAGCCGTCCTGAGGCTATAAGCAATGGGACGGCATACAAAAATTCTAAATAAATAAATAAGAATAAATAATTGGTTATGCAGTTCAATGCATGACTTGGGGCCATTCTGTTCTCCACTGTTAGTCCATCTGCATGTCACCCTGGAACAGGAGCCTTATACTGCTAATTTGCACTCATGGGCAAGGGAAAGGAAGGTCTCAGGAGACGAGGCATAAACAAAGGTCCTTCATAGTCCTACTTGGAGAGGCTATGAATTCGAGCTGGGACTTCTTCATGAGGAGCAGTGGCTCCACCACAGCATCTCTCATTCACGCACACATCTGCACAGCCATTTGTTCACAAGCATGTCTCCACTTCTTACAGAAGATCCTCTTTTTGGGGAGTGTTGAAGGCAGAAGAAGAAAAGGAAGACCAAAGAAGAGATGGATTGACTCCATCAAGGACCTGAATCTAGAACGGCTAAGCAGGGATGCCATAGATGGGACATTTGGATGGCTTTCACTCACATGGCTTCCATAAGTCGGAGATGACTTGATGACACATAAGAAGGATCCAGCCATCCTCCTCTTCATACATATTCACTCTGGGCACACACATGTAAGTGAGACTAGCCAAGCAGAACGCCCAGTCCTTCCTTCGTCAGCCTCATCTATGTTGGTGTGGCCTGACTGGAGAAGCAGAGACAGGGGGCGCCTTTTCATTGGCCTCATAGAGCCAACAGAGGGTCTCACACAGACGCATTCCAGATGATTGTCATGTGCCGTTTCCCCAGCTTTTTCTTAAACACTCTTGACTAGTATGCATTTCACGGCCATTATTGAATCCCCATCAACATTCTGTGCCATATTTAATAAAATTGGTTTTCCTAACGTCAAAAGCATTTTACCCCTTCCACATTCTTTCCCATGCACTTAAGATTTCTCCAATTCCAATAACTAGAACCTTGATATTTTCCAGATACGCACCCACATTCATGCCATAGCAGGTCCGCTCATTACTATATTTTATTATATTTTCTCTAGATTAGCCACATGCAATGCTACTCAACTTCCCTGCAGTTTTAACAGAAAAATTGCCAGTCAGATGTAAGTTATTTCAAACAAATCAGCCCATGAGTGTGTTGAAATGTTGCAGGTATTACCCAAACGCCAAACTTGGGAAAATAGTCTCAGTTTCATTCAGCAGAGAAGTTTGCTAAACTTCCATGGTTCCCTGATTCTCATTCTTTCTTTACTTTGGTTCAAGAAAAGAGGCAAAGCATATGCAGTTAAAAAATCGCTTACAGATTCTGGGAAAGCCATTCCCAACCTCAAAAGTAAGAAGAAGCACAAACCCGTTTTTGGAATAAGCACCACTGTTTTACATGGGGGTGGGGAATCTCCCGGGGTCCCAGTCTGGTGTCTCTGCACCCGGGTCCCACCTCCTTTTCTCTAACCACTGATAATGTGGCAGTTTCCAGGCATTACTGCAGTTTTTTTCTCTACCCAAAAACCTGAAACCTTAGGGCTTTTCTTATGTTCTCATAGAGGTGATTAAAATAATGCATGGTGCAAAGAAAGTGGCGAGGGAGACTTTTTCTCCCTTTCCCATAACACTTGAACCCAGGGTCATCCCAGGAAGCTGATTGTGGGAGGTTTAGGATAGATACTGCATAGACTGTATAGTTAAGCTATGGAATTTGCTGTTATGGGAAGTGGTGATGGCTACCGATATGGGTGACTTTACAAGGGGATTGGACAGATTCATTAAGGAGGCGGCGATCGGTGGCCACTAGCCTTGCTGACTGCGTGCTACTCCTTTACCAGGGGTGGCATGACTGCCTGCACCAGCTGCTGAGGATCTGGGCAAGAGGAGGTCTTGCACCCATCCTGCTTGGGGGATCCTGTGGGCAGCTGGTTTGCTGCAGGGTGTACAGAGCGCTGGACTAGCTGGACCTTGGGTCTGACATTGCAAGCCTGTTCTTAAGTTCCCTCCTTTGCAGTAAGTGCTTTGAGCTACAGTTTTCTGGTATTGTCACTATTAGTAGTAGAAGAGGAAATAGTACAATTTTGCATTACACTGTCCTGCCCACCAGTGGAGTGCAACCTTCAAGAGCTCCTCCAGAATAAAATTGAGCCTTTGGGGTAAAAGATGTTCTCCACCAATGTTTTAAGTCATGCCCTTTCAGATGTTGTTGCGTCACCATTTTCACCATTCCTGACAACAGGCCCTACAAACTGGAGCAGCTTGAGTTTAACAACATCTAGGGGGGGCTGTGTTTCACACCCTATTTGTTGATTAACTTGGTATTTCAACCAACGTCCAAGGAATCTCCTATGATGTAAGGAGGAGGACCTCAATTATGGAATGCTCTACCACTGGAGACTTGCCAGGCACCGACCTTGTTGAGTTTCAAGTGCCCAGCAAAACCTTTCTTTTTCAGCACACCCATGGTACCTTTTTGACTATTTATATCAATGGCACTGGTTTTAATTACATTAATGTATGTCATATTGTTATTTAATTAGATTTATAGTGATTTTATCCTGTTTAGTTATCATGATATTTTAATTATATTATTTTATCAGTGTTACTTATTAGTACATAGCTATGTTGTTGTTGTTGTTGTTGTTGTTGTGAGTCGTGAAGTCATGTCCGACCCATCGCGACCCCATGGACAACATTCCTCCAGGCCTTCCTGTCCTCCACCAGCCCCAGGAGTCCACCGACTGCTCACGCCGACTGCCTCAGTGACTCCATCTAGCCACCTCATCCTCTGCCGTCCCCTTCTTCTTTTGCCATCGATTTTTCCCAACATTAGGCTCTTCTCCAGAGAGTCCTTCCTTCTCATTAGGTGGCCAAAGTATTTGAGTTTCATCTTCAATATCTGGCCTTCTAAAGAGCAGTCAGGGTTGATCTCCTCTAGGACTGACTGGTTTGATCGCCTTGTGGTTCAAGGGACTCGCAGGAGTCTCCTCCAGCACCACAATTCAAAGGCCTCAATCCTTTGGCGCTCAGCCTTCCTTATGATCCAGCTTTCACATCCATACATAGCAACTGGGAAAACCATAGCCTTGACTATACGCACTTTTGTTGGCAGCGTGATGTCTCTGCTTGTTAGTATGCTGTCTAGATTTGCCATAGCTTTCCTTCCCAGGAGCAAGCGTCTTTTAATTTCTTGGCTGCAGTCCCTGTCTGCGGTGATCTTGGAGCCCAGGAAAATAAAATCTATCACTGCCTCCATTTCTTCCCCATCTATTTGCCAGGAAGTGATAGGACCGGAAGCCATGATCTTATCTGACTTAATAAGATATGCCAGACTGTGTGTGGCATCTTATTGGTGAGACAGGTTTCATCCAAGATGAACAGGGCATGTTTACAATTTTGGTTCTCTTGGCATCTGGTGCATTACTCTGTTTGCTCTTTTGAACCGTCATTGCTTCATGAAGCCATCCTCTGTTAAGCAATCTGCCCTTAACATTTGACCAGCTGTTGATAGTGCCCTGGAGTGGAAGCTTTCACAAATATATTGCCCTTCTCTCATTTTCTGCTCCCTTTAAGAAAATGGAGCAAAGTCAAAAGAGCCTTCCAGATTTCAGCATCAAGAATATCATGCTGATGCTGAATAGTGAGAGGAGAAATCAGAAATTAGCTGTAAAATGCAGAGGCATGTCATTTTTCCTTTTTAAAAATGTAGGCAGTGCAACTTTTACCATTATGTAGGATTTGGAAAGCTCATAATACCTAAAGAAGAATCCTCTGAAATGACCATATTGTGGAGCACAGTTTCCAAAATGGTTAACCGCTAGCTCATGACAGACTCCCCTTTCCAAAAGATTAGCAATCTCATCAGTACTGGAACTAATCAAATGAGCGATTCCCACCTCTCACTCTCATTGAACTATGTGCAACACAGGACCCCTTTAGATCATGTCGGGAAAGCAAGTGTGATGCTGAAAGGATTGACATGAAAGAATCCACCAGTCCATCTACCCTGGAATGCATTTTTAAAGTAGTCCTAATTCTGTAACTGCATTGCATTTCTATCTTTCCCCTCTTGCAAGAAACTCAGGCTGGTTCCTGGTGATGAATCGTCTCCATGTCCCATTGACATCCATCATCTCAGTCCTGCCACTCTTTGTATTATTCAGGTGCTCTAATGTGGATGTGCATCTCCTATCCCATAAAGGCTTCCCCATTAATTTTATAGGAGAGGAAAGCTTGGAGGCAGCATGGCGTATTTAACTAGGCACAGCTTTATTCAGCTTTGGCAACACAATGCTCCTGTTGTTTGGCCAAATCCTTCAGCGTTGTTCAGCTTTGGCAAAGCAATCTGCTCTCAGTTTTGCGGGTCTGTCATGCATGTATCCTACTGCTCTCTTAATCTATACACAAATCATTATGATTTTGAGGTACTGATCTATTGTTGAAGAGGTCTATTAAATCTGAAACATGTGGAGATGTATGGCTTTATTCTAAGCCATCCTGAGATATTTGTAGGGGATGGGAAAGAAAAGTTTTTAATAAATAAATAAATAAATACTAGAGCAGACTCATTCATGGGCAAACATCACATGATG